ACACTTTATTATGAAATTTGAGTGGATTGTCCTTTACATGCATGTGCACCTTCTCGTCTTCATGTCTGCTCATCATAACAATGTGTTCCAATTAATTAATACCTTCAGAATATTTTTTTATAATTAATAAAGACATAACAAGGTAAATGTTGCTTCTTTATTACAATTCGTTAATCAATAATTAGCCCTTCAAATGGTGTTGAAGGACATGAATAAACTGAAAAAGGGACGCAAACCAGATCAGTGATGTGCCCATTTACAATTTAAATGATCTCTGCTTTTTGACCTTTATTATGTTAGTGTTTTGACCTTGACCTTTTATTTTGTGCTAGAATACTGTTCATACTTAAATTAAATGCCAGATGTATTAATTTTGCATATATGAATTTTTTGCTTTATTTTCTTTTTGCAGTGTTTGAACAAAATGGGTTTACTATGGGGGATGTAAATAACAAGAGGCCCATAGGCCACATTGCTCACCTGAGCACTTTGGCTAGGAGTTCAGTATTTAAGTATGTAAGGAAATAGAAGTCTCGAGGGTTGTATTTCGGGTAAACTTACAGCATATTTCGACAATAAAAAATGTCTTGAAATAAAAAAGTTATTTTTTGAAAAGTTTAAAACTAGAAAAAATTATTATACAGTAAATTGAACATAATCACAGAATTGAAAGTGAATTATATATAAAATTGTAAACACTGAGAGACAAAAAACTCACACCTGAGAGAATTTGTATAATGTGAGACATGAATTGTGTTAAAGATTCATTCACTGACTGATTGTCCTCTATTTAAAAGTTACAGGATATTTTGAGGATATTAGACATTAATAATAATAACAAAGTTTATCAACATGATCAAATAGTGGGAAAAATTCTTTGAATTATGTCAAATAAAGATAAATAAATGCATTGTTTATTTAGCTGGAAAATTTTTATTCAATATTTTTAAATGAGAAATACTGCAATCAATGTATTTAATGTGTAACTTTAAGCTCCCCAACCCCCCCCCCCCCCTAAAATAAAAAAAATAATAAAAAAATAAAAAATGTAGAACAGTAGATGTAAATCAGATCATGTGAATCTCCGATATATGTAATTAATGCTACAAATTTATATTTTTAGCATGTCTTAAATGCAGTATAAAACAAATAATCCTTATATGGTATTTATCAAATGCATGCACTTGTGCCTAGAAGTGAAATATTATATATTTTGATTTTCATGCAATTTTATCAATGCAAGTATTTTAGTATAATTTAATTTTGTTTGTATTCTTGCCTCTGATTGGTTAATATCCAAAAAGGAACACAAATTATTTCTGTATAACCTGGTTTGGTATGGGGACACCCCCCCCCCTTGACAACCAGCTGAATCATCTGTATCCATACAATCCTCTCATTTCCAGTCCTCGGGATTCATGGAAAATTCCAGATTTAATAAATGTACCTTTAACTTCAAACGATAATTCGCTCTTACCACATGCAAACAAACAACATGGCTGCTAGGCCTATGTATCAGTTTTTACCTCCCCTCGCTTCCCATCACTTCCGTTACTACGGTTGTATTATTGAGCGGCAAATTTGAACTAATGAAAAGCAACGAAATTTTAAACCCCTAGTTATTTAATGATTTTAAAATTAAATTATAAGGAATGACTCTAATTCTTGGCCAAATTATTCGAGTATAACCTGGTTTGGGTCAGTTTACGCTGTTTTATAATCCGTTTCGCGGATTATAAAGCGTAAACTGACCCAAACCAGGTTATACTCAAATAATTTGGCCAAGAATTAGAGTCATTCCTAAAGGATAATTATGCAGGGCTAGACAAATAGCATTGCCTGACGCCCAGGACAACCAATTTTGTTTGGCGGGCAAGTTATTTGATAACTGCATGGTTTCGGCCTGTGGACAAGTGTTTTTTCCAGCTAACAAAAATCATATACTCAAATGTTGTTTTGTTTTACCATTGTTAAAATACAGTGAATCACAGCAGAGTATCTGTTGCAGTTGTCCACTACATCAAACACTCGGTAGGAACTTCTCTAGAATTGCCCATTCATGTCTTGATAATATATTATATATGAGAAGTAGACTACGGCAGGTATCGATGTCATGTCAAAAAAGTTGAAGATTTTGGACCTTTCTTTTGTCAAAATGTAAAAATCATGCTGTGAATACACAATGCAAACGCATGTTGCTCTTATTAAATTGGTGGTGTTGACTGGCGAACACACACAGTCATGAAGTTGAACCCTTAATCGACATTCATGAGTTTTTTTAATAACACAATAATGTAGATACAAATGTATTTTTTTCATGTAAAAAATACAGTGAAACCTGTAAGTACACATTGACATGTACATGTATTTAAAATTTTAAGTTTAATAATCAATGCACAGCGCAGACGCTAGGAAGTCTCCCTAGAATTAGAAATTTTACCCTTAATTTCTCTACGGGAGAGATATTGATTTTGGGTCAAGGTTGGTCCTAATTAAATGTTAATTATAATGTTTTAGTTTTGTGTTATTTAAGAAAAAGGTGGGACAAGCATATTTTTTGGCAGGACAAGTAATTTTACGATGGTAACCTGTCCTAGGGCAAGTACTGACAATTTCTATTTGTCTACCCCTCTTACGTTGATTTTCCATCTTGGGCAAAGCATGCAGTAGATAAGTTAACTCTTGAAATATGGTTAAATCTGGACTGCATCGATCAACATGTAACATCTATTTATATATTTATACACCTAGCAATATCCGATAGCTCTGTATGTTAAAACAGTACAGAAGACCCTAGCTTAGAACTCTATCAGTCTTGTAAAAAAAAAAAAAAAAAAAACTAGAAAGTTCAGGGAAAAAAATCTTGAGTGTCCAAAATATTTGTTATATATATATAAAACTGTATAAAGATTCGTCAAGGTGCTGACACTTCAAATAAATGTAAAATTTTGCTTGTTATGGATCATATAGGTAGTGACTGCCAAATGCATGAAGTGTTCAAAGTGAAAGTAGATCGACCTACATGATCATGCATTTAAATGAATAAATAAAAATCTACCAGCTTCTAATAAAAAAGCCATTGTAATTATAATTAAAAGGTGTATTTGTACACTTTCTTTCTTTCCTAATAGTTTTATGATTTGAAATAAGTTGAAAAAAAATGTCAGTTTTCGTTTTTTTTTTTTTTCTTTCTTCGACATGTAACATGGGGCCACTTATGCAAACATTCTGACTTATTCTTAGCATTTGAAACAGCTCTTTCTTGGGTGTATGTATGGTATAAAATAAAGAAAAGGACGACAACTTACCATCTTGCTACATTTTCAACAAATGAAGCTGTAAATAACACAGTCTTGCACCAGACCATGTCAACATCCGTTTCTAGAGGAAATGCGTGACCTCCACAACTTGTACTGCATTGAATTCGGATTATTTCTCTCATTTTATGAGAAAACTCGTCAGAATATATTTGAATGCAAAAATATACTTATATTATTTACCAAATTACACTGAATTACTTTTGTTGAATTTTTAGGATTTTTTGTAATTTTAATTTGGAAAGAACGACTACTCCCTCAATAAACTGGTTTCCTGCCCCGTGATCTTGACGGTAATGGACGAGTTTACCATGTTAAACCCCCGTAGACTTTGAATTTGCCGCCGTGTCAATACACCGGTTGAACTCGAGGGTTCGGATAAATGGAGGAAGTTTGGAAAAAAAATTATCTATCGACCAAACCTAGTTTGAAGGCCAAGGTATTTATACATTTTGAGATATGAGGCGAAAAGCGAGGTCCTTGGTACCCTGGGACAGACTATAAACAGAATACACAAGGGAAATGAGACGCTAAAAATAGTAGCTTTTAGCATTTTATGACTAATATTGTCAGACCCTATAGCCTTTTTCACAGGGAGAATAGAAGTTAAATCAATAATGTCTTGCTTAACTATTTCAATACTATTAAGAACACTATTACACAATAAAGAACAAAAAAACTGGTAATGCAGGTTCCACATTATGCGATGCCGAAATCAAAGCAAAATAGTTGTTTAACGCACAGGGGTTGAAAATCTATTTTGTAATGTATTAAACGAACCAGGTTTTGCTTTACCTTACGAAAAACCGAAATGATCTCAACTTTGACGCAATCACATTTACATCTCGAAAAACTTACAGAATTATAAGAAGCTTAAGATAATGCTATAGATGAAATTGAAAGTAGGAATTATCTATTATTATTTATGAATATCTAAGTAAAGTCAAAATCATTTCTCATCTGATCGAAAAATCGGGCGGAAGACCTCTTCGTTGCTTCAACGAGATCTCGTCTAGTTATTTTTAGCATGTACAGGAGAGTCAGTGTGTCAATAAAAAGATAGATAATACGATTGCAAGTCCGGTCTAAAAATACATGCTACTATAAAATTCCTACATAATAAGTTACTTTGATAAATACATTGCTCTGACTCATATCATTTGATCTTGATGACTCATATCATTTGATCTTGATGAATAATAAAAAAAACCTTTTATTTTCCCAATTTCATTGCCTTGTATTCAATTAGCGATTTGAAGTACTACTAAAGTCTTGGTGTTTCAGTTTTCTCCATAAATATGGGATCCCCTCTGGTTTGTGGTTATATATGATTTTTATACAACGAGTTGTATGTTATTTTTTTTATCCCCGAGCTGTTGGATAAAAATCATATAAAGAATATAATAACAAATAAAATAAAAATGAAAAATAAGAAGATTCTTGTTAGCACATGTTATATTTATCTGTCACATGTTAACACTGTTTTTATACATGTATATGGATTCACTTTAATTGGATTCATTGTTTTTGCGCAGACGTCATTATGACATCACATTTGTTGACATGAAAACGATATCATATGACTGATATCCACTGTGTAAAGAAGTAAGCATGTGAGAAATTGATTTTTCTATAGTTATATGCATGTATAATCATATTCTTATTTATTGTTTCCCATTACAGTTCAGATTGATATCGGCTTCCTTCAATTCTCTAAATACCCCAATATTTACAATATCAGAATTTCCAAATAACTTGGGGAAAAGAAACGGAGCTTGTGAAATTTCAAGGACTCTTGGCATGAGCTACTAAGCTGACAAGGATACGAGGTACGATCTCTTTTTAAAGTATAGCTCAGTTATTATAAATTTAGAACTTTTAAATAATATAAATGATATTAATAAATAAATAAATTTTAAATAATATTAATTTTCCTAGTATGAAATATGTAGATAAGGAACAGATAGTCAAGCTCAAAAATCCATTAAAACAAAACATTGGGAGCAGAGCAAACAAGGACCTCTAAAACCATCAGAGGTGGAATCAGGTGCCACGGAGGAGTAAGCATCCCCTGTCGACGGGTCACAATCGCCGTGTGCTCCTTGTCATGATCGGACAAACGGAAAAAAATTCAATGTGAAAATAATGGTCTAACAATTTGTATGAAAAACGTCAGTCAAAAATCGACTTAACGATAGATTGTATTTGCTGACAAGGTCATTGTATCCAACATTGTACTTGTGAAATGTTGACTTTAAACGAGACTTTTGATATCATTGCATCATCAACTTATTTGTCACTAGCTTGTCTCTTTTTGAAAATATTGTCTGTAGAACATGCTCTTGAGGAACGAATCAACTGAGAAACATGAACTCTATATGCAGGTGATAATTGTATATTGCTATATAAATTAGAGAAGTTGACGAGAGAAAAGTTGAAATCACGTTCATCATAAGTTTTGTTGTTATGTTACCATTAACGCCTTTTTCCAATTATTGTAAATGGAAACAAAAACATGTATAGGGTTTCCATTTCGATGTACCGTCTACCGTCTGCAATTGAGCATATTGCATTTAAACACTGAATTTGTATACCGGTAGGAGGCATTCGGGAAATCAAAGCAAAGTCGATTTTTGTGAAATCATCACACTAAGTAGTTGCTAATATTTTGGCAAAATTTCCAATTCTCTCTGGATCTGTCCGTTTTATTCTAGCATTATTAAAGCAATAGGATGACAGCACATTCATATGAAAAGCATGTAAAAAAAGTTACATGATTCAAGATTTCTCCATAATTGTTCAATATTCGGGATAACATTTATTGGAAATGTACCTTTTTATAAAAATTATATTCTGATTACTCTTTGTGAAAATTAAGGTCAGATGCATCACCAAAAACATATTTTGACAATGTAGTTAAGTAAAAAATAAATTCATAATTTATAAATGTCCAACCCTCAACTAGGAACAAAAGCTCTTAAAATGATCATTATTTGGATACATCTAAAATCGAAAATGAAACCTTTCCGTGTAACAATTTTCATTGCATGCTTTATTTTATTATCCAGGGTACTTTAAATATAATGCTTTGAATTATATAAAAATTGACGTATATGGAACTAAATTACATCATGAGGACATACAAATTTTTTTTCCAGCTGTCCGAATACCTTTTATGTTTTAACCTGTATTATCCTAAATTAATTTTCAGCTGGAAAATGCATTATTGATACTTCTGTTTACATTTCCGTGAATACTTTTTAGAACTTTTGTAATAACGCGTTCATTTTCAATTGTGGAATTTAAAGTATTTTGAATTCGTAACTTTATTTGGTAAACAAATTCATTTTTAACTGACGCCAGTTATAGCATGTATATCTTTAAGAACCCTTCTTTGTCCTTGGGTTTGAGTGTCTCCATAAACGGTACAATAATCCATCATCAAAAACCCGAGTGTCTTCATCCTTGTTACAAAAAGTATTGATTCTAAGTGAAAAGATACACAAAGGTCACTGGAAGATCCCCAAAAATGACATTTTCCGAATTTTCTCAACTTTATTCAAATTTTCATAAATATTTTATATAGCATGTATATCTTTAACCTATCTTGACCTTTATACAAATTTCAAAATGATATCAGACACATGGGTTATACGTTTGTTTTTACCTTCTTTTTATCAGAGGACAAAATGATATGCAGTAAATGGACCGAATTTCCTTTAAGATCAAGAATATTTTTTCGAAGTTTGCTGATTTTTCTTCTTATGGTAAGATAATTTCATATTTAGATGAAAGACTGATAATAAATGCATACAAACATGTTTGCATGCGTGCACAGAATAAAGAACATGTCTATTTAATTTCCTACCACTTTCAATTTTAGATAAGTACTCCTCAAACACTATAGATGTACTTTATTTCGCGTGGGCTTGATTCCCGCTATGTACGCGATCATAATTTCTCCTCGAAAATTTGTCATAGCGTACTTAAAATTCATCAATGGTATAATGACAGTTCAAGAAATCCGCGTAATTTTCTAATCGTGATCTGAACAGAAATTGCAATCCCGCGGAATTATTATCCCGAAGACAAAAAAGTACTTTTACAGTAATTGGAGCCGTACCAAACTTTTACCAACTGCCCAGTAGTTAAATTCTAATTTATCCTCCACCACTAGAGCACACTTCTCCGCGAATTGTAGAATAACCTATTTTCTGGTTTTCCAATAAATTGCGAGCAGACAGATAGTGATCTGCTCAAAATCATACTGTTTATGCCACATCGCTTCTCACGCGATTTCACATTCTTTTTTTTTCCACTTTTTCCTGTAAACTATAGCTCGTGCTCGTGAATTGCAATACAACTTGATTCGATTCATTAATATAGTCACTAACCACTTTCGCTAGGAATGTTGTAATAAAATTATATAGATACATGTAATAAGTCGGTGAGTAAAAGCTGTCGACTTTTGCCACGATTTTTAAAATAAATTAAAAAAATTATTTAGTTCACAAAGTAAATTTGGACAGACACAGCGAACTCTAGCCTCCTTCCTACATCAAGAGGATAGTAATAGATTCCTGGTTTATCTAATTTTAATCTACGTACGAATAAAAACAAAGATTTCAATTGTATAACAATCCAAACGTGTTCAAGTTTCAGGAGTGGTCTACCTGTTATGATGAAGAGTTTTGTAAAGAATCTCAAAATACGGAGACATCAGTGTTTTCATGTCCAACAACTGAATTTCTCTGGGAAAAACGGGCGCTAAAGAAAAACTGTTCTTCTTTGTCACACAGCTGTCATAATGAACTTTTATATCATTGTTTGATAAACCCTTGGCAGAACAGTACCGTTGAAGTCTGTGCACCAAAAACAGAAATTGCAGCAGGTGTCTCTATTATAGTTTTAGGGCAGCATTAATTCTATTAAATCTGGAAAGAATCATTTGTATTATGTTGTGCTTCAAAGAAAATCTTTTAGTTCTTAGTTTAAAAAAAAATACCATCATAATAGTTTCAATGATAAAGTGAAAGAAAATTATTGATTTGAGTAAAAAGATTTGGCACTGAAGACACAGTCTCACTTAAATCGCAAAAAAGTTGATTCAAGAAAAAAATATCATTAACATTTAAAAACTAGTAATGTTTTTAAGGTTTCTGTGCCGAATACAACGCTAAAGGAGGGAGGATACAGGAGTTCTACAGACGGACATGTTTATCCTGTAACAAAACTTACTGGTCTACAGAGGCATACAACTGTATGTTTTATTTAATTTTATTTTCTCTATATCCCATTCAATGTATACCTAGGGAATGGATTTCAGTTATTACAAGAAGAATGTTGAAAATACAACTCATAGGGTTGGGTCTGCCCCACAGAATTTCGCTCTAACAGTAAAATAAAATGTCACTGTTGTATGCAGTATCTTGTGGGGGGAGTGGGGCAGGGCTCATCACATTTTTACCAATATTTACACAAATACGTTTGAAGCATGCTTTTTTTTTTTTTTTTTTTTTTAAATGTTATTTCAAGTGTGCTTTGTTGTTTTTGATATCCTCAGTAAAATTGATATTTCAATATTGAGAAAAAACCGGTTGAGGAATATACAATTTCCTTAAATTATAACAGAATAATCCCTGACACCATAGCTATGTTCCTGTAAATTAATTTACTATGTATTTGGTGGATTTAGCTGTAGAATTCTATTGTTCCAATTTAACTTACTTGGGATAACTGTTATTTCATCTCCTTAAATCTGCATCTCTATTGTCATAAATTTTGACAATAAACAGATAGAATCTTTGATATATTATGTGCTTATGTGTTTTAGATGCCGAATGCTACACGACAGTAACAAAATACAGTAACAAAAGTGTCGTAAACCGGTAATGATATACCTTTTTCTCTTGCTAGAGATTAAAATATATATGAAAAAAATATATTAACTGTTGCTGTAAATTTCCTTCACAATTAGATGATTGCTTCGCAATTAAATGATTTCTTCAGATTACAAATAACCAGAATATTTGAATCAGATACATCCTGTATTTTACAAATAATACATGTGTCATATTTGACATATCATGACAAAATAAACATTCTTATTTTTCTTTTTTTTTCAATATTATTTTCTTGTTTGCATAGAATTTCAGGATCTGAAGTTGCTAGCAGCAGTGGAACAATTGTACATCAAAACTCCAAACTCTGGCTATATTTTGGTATATATTTGATAATCCAAACATGAAACTACTAATAACTTTATACATGAAAATAATGCAATTTTTTCATGGGCTTTCTTCACCTTTGCTGAAGTTTTAGACTATTTGTAAAAGTAAAAACTCTCTTATATTCACATTTTTTTTTCTAATTATTTGAGTGATTAGTGCCTGCAACGTTAGCTATAAACACAGTCACTTCAATACCGGTATAACAAGTGCTTTTACATGTACTATTGTAATACATATGAAGTATTGACACCCGATTTACATGTTTGAAGAGAAACAAGTAATGCTTTAAGAACTCAAATCTAAAATAATTCAAATAAGAAGATATATTCATTGAAGCTTCAACTATTTAACGGACAAGAAGTAAATATGAATATTTAAGTATTAACTTGAATATTGCACTAAAACACCAGTACTGGCATTTCCAATGCTCTCAAATATTTGTTATATTTGACTTTGTTTAAACATCTATATTTGAAGAGCTAAATTTCAACTGTCTCTAATTGTGACCAATAAACGTCATGTATATGTATGAACGTTTTCAAGAACGTGTTGTTTTATAGTTTTTTTATTATCTTACATTTACATTATTTTTATATAGTTTTACAGATATATGTACAAATTTCTCCCTGTAGATTAGCACATGTTTTACAGTTTGTATTGTACATTTGATGACTAGATTATTTTATCATATTGGAAAGGTATATTTGTATTTCCTGATTGCGATTATTCTTCTGCACTATGATATATAACTTTTTACAGTATTGTTATCCATGAAATGTGGCATTTGACACTTTATAAAGGGACATCCACATAGAAAAGGTTCGTGAATTTGCCAACTGGAAAACGTATTTACACACGAAATTCACAGTTCAAACAAATCATCGTATTCTATATCTTGTATTAAAAAATATTTTGACGAAATGTACAGAATGCTCACGGTAACATAAAAAGATTCAACTAAAAAAATATTATAAAATGATTCCATACCATGTTTTAAATAACATGTTGAAATAAAGAAAAGGTAGTTACATGTATATCACAGGGAAAAGTGGCTTACATGATATTCATGTGATTATCTTTTTATTTGAAAATTATGTGAAAATCATGTAAAAATTATATAGATATTTTTTCATGCGAATATCATGTGAATAAGTTTGCATGATATTCACATAATTTTTTTTTAAAACTTTCATGTGAAGTTTTCTTTGCACGATATTTATTCGATTTGCTCTACATGTAAAATTCTAAAGAAAAGTATGTCAAAATGGCCTGAAGTTTCTACATAAATTTCACATATCTTGTTTTTCGTCTCTTTCCCATGCAAAGAATTCACATGAAATTCATGCGAATTTCATATAATATTTATGTTAACCACTTTTGCCTGTGATATATATTATTTATTTTAAACCTACCTTTGTATCATTCAGTTTTATTCACTTTTGAGAAATTTGTCTTCATTTCACAGTATTTTGCAAATAAATGTATTTGGTATGAATTTGTTTTCTCTGTTTCTTACGCGTTTAGATAGAAGTGTATACCCCTGTGACGGTGCATATTTTCGTTTTGTGCATATTTTCGTCTGCGCCAACTGCAATAAGCAACTATTCTCAATGCACATATTGTCGTCCATTGACCAATACTGTCTCTGGCTAAAAAATTATGTATGAACACATTGTCCTAGCAACAAAATGTGCCTACCGTTATGTTCATATTGTCGCCCCACAGTAACAGTTTGCTTAAGGATTATTTTTGTAGTTTTTTAATGTAATTGATTTGTAAATCACAAAAAAAAAAAAAAAAAAAAAAAAAAAAAAAAAAGTATCATATGCTTTTTCATGCTGTCCAGTTATTATATTATATAATATCCAAGTACATAATTTCGTCCTGTATATATTGTCGGCGGCGACAAGTGTACCTACCCTCAATGCACATATTGTGTTCCATCGGTACATATTGCTGGCGATAATATGAGCCTACTCTCACTGCACATATTGCCGCTTCACAGTTAGGATTTTAGTAATATGGATGATGATAACGATAATAATGATGATCTCATGAGATCACTTATTTGCCATTTTTTAACTCCATTGAAACAACTGCAATGAATGCTATATTTAATAAACACGTGCGCAAGCAATACTGTGAAAAATAGAGCAACTACCGTAAGAACCGTGTTCTTTAAATCAGTTCATAAATAAAAGAACAGAAACCTCTCTCTCTATCTCTCCAAACTTAACCAAACTCCCTCTTTCTGTTTAAAAAAAGTGCACTAAAAATTTTAAAGAATTACACGATATGATTGAAAAAGCACTAAATTAAGAATATGCATGACATTTTTTCAATAAGACTTAAAAAGTGTGGACCCCAACCCCTATACATGTAATGCATCGCTACATTCAATCAATAATTTTTATTACTATTCTCAAAATTAGCATTTATTCTCAACTTGCATGTATATATAACGAGAAAAAGAGTACGCTGAATTTTCAGAATTCCGCTATCTTGGATATCATACAAATGTACAATACCCTGGATGCAATTTTTTGACCAAAATTTAAACGTCTTCTACATTATTGCTTATTTACCTACCTGTCTGCCACAAACTTTGTTTATCCCCCCTCTCTATCTTTTTTGGCGTCTCTCACTCTTGAAGACCGAGTCTCTTTCTCTTAAGACCCGAGTAAAAATTAATGGAAAAAATATATTGGCAACACGATGTACAAATTTTCACAGAAAATATTGTCATCGATGTGCTGACGTGACTGTAATCAGTTATCAATTCTGCAGGAGGAAAAAAAAAGGTTCGTCTCGGCACATATTGTCGCTGGTGACAATATGTGCAGTGAGGGTAGGTATGTTTTTTCGCCGGCGACAATATGTATAGAACGGCAGTATGTATCGTCACAACCCGTCATATTTGCGGCGGCATATCTGCAAGCTTGAAATAAAATACAACACTGGAAAGTGTCATCATTCATTAAATATACTTCATATCTATGCAAAAATAAACAGCTAATCTCATGTCCGTTATGTCTTTATTAAACTGTTATTTTTACCTGATATGTTTTTGAAGATGTAGATAGATATTCAATGTTTCGTAGTTGGATATGGCATTTACATGTATTTCACGAGTTGGACAGGATTTTTTATATATATTTTCACCATTGTGAAACTATGAAACTTTATAATTATGGTGTGCCATTAAAAAGGTTAGGTAAAACGGGGTAAAATAATCTGAAATACAAATGGTTATAGCTTGAAAAGTGTAAAAGATCAATGGATGCCACATCATCGGCATATCGGGCTGGGAAGAGCAGAAAGTGGAAGGATTTATTGTTGAAAACTATTAAAATTTATCCTGCCTCTGTTAAAAGTCTTGAAAGAAGAAGGTACTTTTTTCGTCTTTATTGTGTCCTTAAAAATTATTGATTTCAAAAAGATATATAATTGGCTTTTATATGAGTTAATTTTATGAATGTGATAAATCATGAAAGAATACGGCATAAAGAAGGACTATTCTGGTAATATGATGCCATTAAATTGGTACATTTCTTAGTTCTTGACATGAAAAGCCTCGCCCACTTCTATTTTTGGATATGTTGTGTAAAATATTTTGAAAAATAGATTTTTTTTTTAAATCTTTGTGGGTGAAGCATGTGTTCTATATTTGAGAGAAAATTCCATTGAAAATTGATATCTTCTGCAACTTTTTAAGTTAATGACGTCACAATTAGCATTTAGGCGGTCATATGAGAAAAGCGATTTATGTGTACTTACTGTATTACTATTGGATGTGAACGACTCAGAAAGCATGATTTTTAAAACCTTACATCAATTTCATATTTTGGAAAAAATTAGGGACATATTTGTATTTAAATCGTACCTTGTTCTTTCATTGGTCGAGAAGAATACTGCCTACCGACATTATTTAAGAAATATTTTTAAGTTTTGTGTGAGATATTGGTGTGTAAATCACACAAACTTGTTACGTAAGTAAATTTCATGAAGCGCGCTAGCGCTTTATGATAAATATGCCTAAGTGCAAGTCTGTGTGATTTACACACCAATAATTCACATTAAACTAAAAAACATTCCTTATATTTACATTTAACATGTTCAAAAGCACCAAAAATATACTCAGTGTTTGAATTATTCGCTGCCCTTTATCGTTATATTTTTATTAACGTCTCTGTAGCTCATTGTGACGTCACTTTAGTGCGAGTTTCTCCGTGCATATTTCTACGCGTGAGTATACACGAAAATGGCATCTAAATCAATTTCACAGTCGTCTTAGTAGAAAACATAGCAAATGCGCGGCTAGGATAAGGCTCTCCGTAAAATATCAAACTGTTCCAACTGTAGTAACTTCTGTGAACTACCTAGATATGACGTCATAATTGCATTTGACGTCAAGTCACTGCATTCTTGAGCTGACATGACGGGGAAAGTGTCATAACTTTTTCATTCCTTTCACATGTAAAGACATTTCAGCGTTGTTGTTTGATTCAAGTGTATGGATTGTTCTTTATGCATAAGTGTGCTGTTATGAAGTTGAACATCGTTATCCCTTTAACTTGTCCGATATACATATATTCAAACAATAACAAAAAAAAAAAAAAAAAAAAAAAAAAAAAAAAAAAATACTGAGAAACGCTCCCCTTACATGTCCGTGGACAGAGTTAGAATTTATAAATCGTGTATATATTTGACTGGCACAAGTGATTAATAAGGATAAATTGAAGATATTTTGTGTGAATCTACTAAAGAAGTATATCCTCTAACTGAACTTTGCTGGGGGATTGTATGTAATTTATCCTATTTCGTATAAATTGCGATAAAGAGTGGAAAATGCCCCCTTGTATGTGGGTAACTTGAATTTCTCGTGGAATATTTTCTCAAGAAGTAAAATTCAGACTAGTCCCCAGCACTTTATATTTACCAAAGATCAAGATGAATTGACTTATGTGACAAATTTTTCTTAATAATGTTGTTTTGCACTTGTGCCGATGCGATTTTTGTACAACATTTAGGAATTTATAAGTGCTCATCACGTGATCAACAACGTCATG